CATGAAGTGGAGCTCAGTTATAGTTCTATAGTACCGAATGCTGCAACCCTATTGGTCGGTTTCATAGATCGCCTGTAGCATGCGTAGGATTCGTTTTTTTTTTTGGAAAAAAATACATGTCGACCTTCCCCAGGGTGTAAAGACCATTTCTAGAAAGTTTCATAGCATTTGCTCGTACGGTCTTCAAATGCATAGCGAACAGACAGACAAACAAACAGACAAACATTCTTCTTTATATATACAGATATGTATCGGACTCACTCTAGATGGATAGGATCTTTTGATCTGACCTGCTAAAGTTTTCAGAACATGAATTTTTCAATGGAAAACATCTTAAAAGAATATTATAATTTAATTTTCCAATAAAAAAACAATGAAGGACTTGGTGTAACATAGATTCGAACCATGCTTTTAGAATGTGCCGCATACACTGTAAAAAACAGAATGCTCATACGAATATATTCTTTAGAAAACCGAGCATTTTCTAAATAAGAGAAATTCGATGCATGAATTATAAACGTTTGAAAATGTTTGAACTTATTTAAAGTTGATTTTCTACAAAATAGAATTTTAAAAAAAGTTATGGTGTACAGGATTTTGTTCTCTTATCGAAGATATTACGAAAAAGATATAAGTGTTAAAATTGAAACTTGTGGAAGACCTGATTCAAATAAATTCAAGTTTTATGTTGAAACTAGTGTTTAATTGAAAGTTTTGCTTGTAGACAGTCAATTTTAAGAGAATGTCGTCCATGCATGAAGAAAATCATTCTTCAGCAATTATTGAACCTCTCGCCGAGCGGGTATCTGCTATTGAACTCGATTCAGAATCCTCAAAAGTTTCATCTCTACCATTGAATCGTTCAAGTGAGCAGGCCGAAGTGAACTTACGATCACCAACTGAAAATGGAAACAAAAGTGTCATTCCTAAAGGAACAACTGCGAAAGATAGCAACTCAAATGCAGTAAGTTATGTGCATTTTCAACGAACGTCGATAGAATAAAAATGCACCTATTGTTTCATTAATATATGTCATCATCTTGGAGCTCAGTTATATCCTTCATGAAAATCTCTCAATATTTGAAAGAAAACTTCACTATACATATCAGTTTTATCATCTGAAAAAAAACGAATCCTCAGAGTTACACCGAGAATAGTGGTTTGTAATACGCCTCCAGCTACTCAAAGTGACTAAATTTAAGAAAGGACTCTAAATTTTCATATACTTCTACTTATTTGTCTTATCTAGGATGAAACGGATGCTGCACAACGTACGAGATTGAAATCGTTTTATACGGAGATTGAAAATGACTTTTGGAAATATTGGCAATACATTTATGAAGATAGGTTGTCAAAAATATCAGAAAGAATTATGAAGTGTTTCATCGACAAGCAAGCATTGCAAAACCACACTAAAGACATCATGAAACTTTCGGAAAAAGAATACAAATTTATAGTTCTAAGTTTGATAACAATTCAGCAAAACAAATTAGATCACCGTGGTGAATCTTTAGCAAATGGAACAAAATATGAAATCGAATATAAAGCGTCTCCATCATTGAATGATCATGATGCATTGAAAGTGGTAGTTAGTATTGGAAAGGAAACATTTCATATTATGTCGAATTATAATGCAAAGAGCAATTCACATCAACCGGGAAATCATATTTTACGCCATCCAATACGTGAACCATTGTCCTACAAATCGAAGCCACCAAAGAAGGGTGCAAAAGATCCAGAGGTTATGCTTCTTTTTCTATTGGAGATCGTACGCCGCCGTATTATTGACCATCGTCAAGAAAAAGAGTATGGAGGTTTAAAAGATGATTTTCATGATTTACCAGTGGGATTAGGCATTGCTATTGCTTATGAATTTATGAAAAAGGATAAGTTTTTTGAACAGTTTTGGAAACATGATGGAAAATATCATATGTTTACTGGAGACAAAGTATTACGGTGGAACGCTTTTTGGGCAATTTATGAACAATACAGAAATGAACATCTGAAATCGGCATCACCAGAGAAGATAAAGCAGCTCTTAAATGAGCGTATGACGCAATTATATTCAAACTGTTGGAATGACTAACTTGAACAGAAAAAGAAAGGACTCAATATTTTTAGCAAATTTTCTATTATTGCAATAACAATGAAGCCATAGTACTCTATTTTTTTCTGACTTCATCCTCTAATAAATGTAAAAATCCACTTAAAATAGATTATTTTTAAGCGCACCCCCCCCCCCCCCCCCCACCCGCACACTATCACTTCACCCCCTCTGCATCCTAA